ATACCTGGCGCACTGGATCTGCGTCACCATTTAAGGTCAACCACCCCAACCTTGCCTCCGTGGACCCGAAAAAGCTCTACCTGCTAGGCGGTCTGACCGACGTACCACCTCCAAAAGGTCAGGACCTAGACATGAACTGGATTGCCTCCAAGGACTGCTACGTTTATGACGCTGCAACAGATACGTGGGTTGAGATTGTCTCCATGCCCAACGGCACAGAAAGGGGCAGTTCCATCGTCGGTGTTCACAACGAAATGATCTATCTAGCCGGCGGAATGACTGTCCTCCAGACTGGATACCAAGATGCAGTCGACTCCGTTATATCATTCAACACTACCTCTGGCCTCTGGCAGAGACTTGAGTCCGCTGCGGCTGAATTGCCAGCAAGCCGTCAGCACGCTACTGGATCGGTCATTGGAGACAGTTTATATGTTATCGATGGACGCCGATACGGCCAGATGTATCATCAACACAGTTTTCGAGCTTGATCTGCAGAATATTGAAGCGGGGTGGAGGACGAGTACTGGCCACATGCCTAAAAATTTTTGATCAGGTTGTATGTCCGTCCGCCTGTTGATCCAATCTCTCTGGTTGGATCTCTATCACCACACTGCATAAAAAGAGCTTGGGAAGGCGGCTACAGTCATGTGACCTGGTCTTGAGGTATGGACCCCACTTCCGCATAAGTAAAACCAGCTGAATACCCCGCCCAAATGAAGGGTTGCCATGATAGCGAAACGAGCGCATCGGATTGGTTTCAAGTCGAGATGGATTCGAAAGCAACGACCCTTAGAGGTAACACCTGTTCAGTATGTCAGGCGGTTCTCTGTCCTGAACCTGGCTACAATTTTGGACCTGAACCAAAGTTATCATACATTACCCCAGCCGGCCAAACCCTTGTCGCCTTTCGAAATGCTTCTCAAGCAAATTGCGTTATTTGCTCAACTATCTTCAACATGTCTGAGCAGCATCGATTGGCATGGTCGGATACCTCGTCAAAGTACTGGCAGCCATTGCAATATCGCGTACAAAAATATGCAGGCGAGGAGGGTATCGTTAGACTGAACGTCATATTTAGCGACCCAGTGAAAGGTAGTGCAAATGACGTTAGATTTCGCCTGATTCCCATCGACAGTAAGCGTCGTTTGCTCCTACGAAAAGTTTATACTCCGTATCTAGGCTGATTGATTCGAAGATGATGAATATAGGTCTTACTTTAGGGCGTGCAATATAGAATCTGATACATCGTCTGCAACCACATTAGCAACAGCAAATGAATGGTTTCTTCACTGTCATTCTAAGCACAAGCTATGCCACAAGCTATCAACTTTTTACTCGGCCAAGCTTCCTACTCGGCTTATTGATATCGGGCACGACGGAGATACTAATTGGTTTCTCCGCATTATGCAGGAACAAAGTAGTTTGTCAACACGCTTATCTTATATGACACTCAGTTACCGCTGGGGATCAGATGCAAATTTTATGCTTCTTTCCTCAAATATAGCACAATTTGAGCAAGGCGTGCCAATCTGCGACCTTCCTCAACTGTTCAGAGATTTTATAACGGTAGCTCGGACTTTCCACATCAGATATGTCTGGATTGATGCCCTGTGCATCATACAAGATTCGATCGATGATTGGGAGGCAGAAGCACCAAAAATGAGACACGTCTACGCAAATTCCGCATGCAATATCGCGGCGTCGGTTTCCAAAAGCCCAGAAGAGAGCATGTTCCGTTCCAGGGAGCCCGACAAAATTCGGCCTCGTATGGTTTGGAGTTCTTTATCCTCTGATCGACCATCCTTCCACTATATTTTTGAGAAGAGATACTGGGATAGACAAATTTCCAACGGACCCTTACATAAACGAGGGTGGGTATTTCAAGAAAGGTTCCTGGCTCCTCGAGTACTTTATTTTGGAGAAGACCAAATTCTGTGGGAATGCCTCAGTGAACATAAGTGCGAATGTTTCCCTTGTGGCATTCCAGCTCATTCATCGGACAAAAATATGGATGCGCTTTTTGATTATATGCCCACGATAAATGGCGTACATCCACAGAGCCGAGAGCCCATGTCACTGGGAGTATTCAACTTGTGGAATGATCTTGTTAAAAGATACTCTCGCTGTGACTTGACAAACCCTTCCGACAAAATGATTGCTATAGCCGGCATCGCCGAACTTTTTCACGATATCACTGGTGACGAATATGTAGCCGGCTGGTGGAAATCACGCCTTCTTGAATCACTGGATTGGCGTGTCTTTGAGCCCCAGGAACGGCGGAGTGCGTGCTATAGAGCACCATCCTGGTCCTGGGGTTCAGTTGATGGACCGGTCACACCGTCTGGTTTATCTGCTTCTGCCGAATTTCTTGTCAGTATCGTGGACTTTCATGTGGCCACAGGAAGCTCAGGTACTACAGACAATGTCTTGAAGGGGTACCTCGAGCTCAGGGGCACTGTTCTCGTAGGGGTCTGCCGCAATCTCAGCAATGGAAATCGCGCTATAGATATTGAGGGTCGGCAGCTTCCTGTCTGGATTTACCCAGATTCTTCGGACACTCAATTTCTGGAGGGCAAGAAGGTCATCTGTATCCCATTGAAAAAAGACTCCTCATGGGACACTAGTGGCGAGGCAAGATCCCACATCACTTGCATTTTAGCCGAGGAAGTAGATCAGCAACAAAATTCCAGTGTTGTCTATCGACGTCTTGGAATCTTCACTCTCTATACGCAAGAAGATGTGGAATATATCTGCGCAATTTGCGATACAAAGGCTATCGTAATTATATAATGATTTCTGGGAAATAAGGATACTAGATCCATTACTAGGCCGCGGTGGAGGTATAGATCAGGTCGTATGCCTGCCACACTGTTCATCCAGTCTTTCTGGTCGGATCTTTATATGAATGATCTATCTCCCTACTCTGCATAATACGAACTTGGACACAGGGAGAATTACCACCCACGGTGAACAACCCTCCGTGGTATTAGAGCACGCGTTCGGAAACCACATTTGCTGGGCGGGTTCTGGCCGCTTGGGTCGTAAAAATCCTCGCTCCCACGCTGGAGCTAGGGCTTTAGACTACAGGCATTGCTCCAAGTTTTGTACTTATCATATTGGGGAATAAAGCTGCGTAGAACCAGTTTATTGACCCGAAGAAACATATGGGTACGAGAGAAAAACCGTTGGCGACTGTAGTCAATCAATGCTGAACAAACAAGCAGGGAACAGGAAGAGACAATCAATACCCATGGCCACGACACCCATTTCTGATGAATTTGTTGGTATTCCAATGCTAGCTGGCTCCGAGTTTTGCCCCCCACCACTGTTCCGTGGCACCTCTCTGTGTGGCTCAGAATACACACACACATAGAGAGAGAGAGAGCCCATTGAGATATTTGATTTCATACATTTCATCTCATTGGCCGAGTGCGCTTTATGTCAGATACTCCCAGTGCTAATATCTGTATCAATTGAGGAGGAGAGGGAGGGGGGCGATCATGACAGCGCAGGGTGTTTCCGATAATCCGATAATCCGGGAATCCGATGGGAGCGCCCACAACGCCTACAGAACCCCAGAAAATACAAGAGGAGATAAAAGGAGGTATTCGCCACGAGCTTTCCAGTTAAAAACAGAGCAAAACAATAATTTATTTCATGATCTTTGAGCCATCACCTAAAATTCATCCAATTATCAATATGGTCGGCTTTGACATGCGTGGTTTGACACCGGCTCCGGTAACTCCCTTCACGCCGGACGGTGCAGTAGACTACGAAGCTATACACCGGCTTGGTTCCTGGCTTGGAGGGATCGAAGGAGTCAAAGGACTGGTTGTGCTTGGCCACGCTGGCGAGGGCACCTTTCTCACCACTGAAGAGCAAATCTCCGTTATCAAGGCTTTCGTGAAGTCGGTGGATAATAAGATACCAATCATTGCTGGTATCACTGGCGAGGGCACCGAAGTGGCCGCGTTAGAAGCAAAGCGTGCCAAAGAAGCTGGCGCGGCTGCCGGCTTGCTATACCCATCTCATGGCTGGCTGCGCTTCGGATATCAGCCCGGGGCTCCTCAAGATCGGTACCGCCGTGTATATGAGGTGTCCGGCCTGCCGTTGATCCTCTTCCAGTATCCGGACAATACAAAGGCGACCTACAGCTTACAGACTATGCTTGATATTGCTGCTCAACCCGGCTGTTTTGCTATGAAGAACGGTGTGCGCAACATGCGCAGATGGGATACGGAAATTCCTGTCATTCGGGCCCAACGCCCCGACCTACAAATTCTCTCTTGTCATGATGAATACCTATTGCACACTTCCTTCGACGTCGACGGTTTCTTGGTTGGCTACGGGAACATCGCCCCCGAGCCTCTTATCGAGTTGATCAAGGCTGGTAAGGCCAAGGATTACAAAAGGGCACGAGCTATCCATGACCAACTCCTGCCGGTCACGAAGAGTGTGTATCATCGAGGATCTCATATGGAGGGTACGGTTGCGCTGAAACATGCTCTTGTTGCTCGGGGGATCCTGACACACGCCACTGTTCGTTCGCCTTTGTTGCCGCTCGAGGAGGGTGCAGAACAAGAAATTCATGCTGCCATCAGTGCTGCATCCCTCAGCAAGGTAGTTCTGTGAGGAGGAATGTCAAAGTAAGGATCTGTATATGAATTTGCTAAGCTAGAAGGTAGATGTGAGGGAAGATCACCCAATAGCAAATGATAATTCTATGAGGCTTCTGTAACAGTGGTGGCATTATACAGCATAGATGATTGTTAGGCAACCTAGTGCACTGAACGATAATGCAAGAAGCTTGTCTTAAATTAGCCGTGGTTCGGATTTAGATGTCCTCGTATTCTGCACAGACTACTGACCCTGCGATCTCGGACTTCCGGCTATGCTCGGCTATCCAGCCCGCAATCTTCATTCTATTTGGTCTGCAAATCCGGCATTTCCGTCCCCTCCTCCTCCTCCTCTCTCTCCACTAAGCAGCACCTGAACGCATCATGGCATCCACCAATTCACCACAAGGCCCTTTGCTGGCGCCAGATCCATCCAAAGCGCCCCCAGGGAAGCGGCCCTTGCTGACGACCGGTGACGATGCGGATGATGAGAATCGCCGGAAAGACCCAAAAATTACTCGGGCTTGTGATACCTGCAAAAGAAAGAAAGTCCGCTGCGATGGTACACTTCCATGCAGGAATTGTGCGAAACGAAAACTCCATTGTTTCTATAATGCCAAATACAACCGGGGTCGGCCTCCAACCCCACCACCTTCCATGACGATCAGTGAGCACCAAGCCAGACAGCAAAGTTATCCTTCAGAGCAGAATCCCAATAGACAGAATACGGAATCAGTCACGCATCTAGTCCCCGAGTCTCAAATTAACCCTCGGGATTCACCAGAGGTCGAACTTGAGGGGCAATATTCCGATCCTACATCAGGATTGAACTTCTTGCACAGAGCATGGAAGAAACTGTCGACACAAAACGATGATTCAGCATTATATCATTTGAACAACGCAGGAAGAGATCAACTGCTCACTTCAGCTGGAGATCCCCCATTTCATGTTGATGATGCAGCTCTAGACGATGTGATTCCAGTCGCCTCCGCGGCGAGAGAATTGCAAGAGTTCTAGTTCGAAACGTGTGTGGTGACGTATCGTATGTTCCATCGGCAACTCGTAGAAGGTTGGATGGAGATTCTCTTGAAAAATCTACAAGAACGACAGCCAATTACCCATTCGCTCGGAAATTCTAGAACTGCGATACTACTCACCATAATGGCCATCGCCTCTTTACGTCGCGATAAAGTCAACGGCAAAGAGCCCCAAATCGACAACATGAATGGCTTATACAGAAGTGATCGGTTGTTCAGTGCAGGCATGAAACTGACTGAGACGGAGATAGGGTTTCCAAAAGTTGAATCCGTCCAGGCACGGCTCATCCAAGTTCTCTACCTTCTGCAAACAGCTCGCATGAACAAAGCCTGGTATGTATTTGGAAATGCCTTTCAGGTAACGCTTTCCCTCGGCATGCACCGGTGTCGAGACCAGAGGAGAAATTTCCCTTGCCCGGGACGGCCCCATAATTACATTATCTCAGAATGCTACAAACGCACGTTTTGGGTAGCTTACATTGTTGACACCTATTTGAGCGTTGTGTTCGGCCGGCCTCGACTTTACCAAGACGAGAATATTGACCAGGATTTCCCTAGCATGGTCAATGACGAGGACATGAAACCGCAAGGGCCTTGCAACTCAGACAACCCAAGAGATTGCTATATTGATGCTTTGATCCATCATGCCAAGTATGTTGTAATGTCTCTCCATCGCGATGATCGCATACTTACCACATTTCAGGATTGCGCAGATCATAGGAAAAATATCACGAGAAGTATACTCGATCAGCAATCTGCCCAACGAAGATCGTCTAGCAGCTGTGCAGCGGTTGTGTCATGATCTGCATGTATGGTGGGCCAGCCTGCCGCCACATTTGGGTACAGTAAAACCCTCCACCTTGATACCCAGTTTCCGGCGCCAGGCCATTGCTATGCGGCTGGCATACTATCATGCTCTCATGCATGCCAATCGACCTTTCCTTTTGAGTGAAGGAGCATACGAGGAAGTTAAAGAATGCATAACTGCTGCCCAGAACAGTCTAGAACTTCTCGATAGAATGGCTAAAGACAGTACATTATTTCATTCTTTTTGGTGGACATATTATGTTATTTTTTGTGCATTGTCTGTTGTCTATGTCTGGGAGATTCAGCGAACTACCCGATGCATATATGGAAATGATGATCAGGCATCGAGCAAGCTCTTTGATCTCGCTGAGAAGTGCCACATTCATCTCAAGAGAGCGTCGACAAGTCTATCACAGAACCAACGATACAGCATTATACTAGATGAACTGCGATCCGAAGCGCAGAGATGCCGAGCTGCGATGGAAAGCCTGCAAAGTCAACGTCCAGGTACTTTTCACGGCGCTGAAGGACATGTTGCAGATATTAGCCTTTCATTTCCGCAGGACCCAGAAAGCTGCCTTAACACGGCCTTTCTCCAAGAAGGAGCCATGCCCGGGGTGTTAGAGAACCTCCAGTTTAGTGATTGGCAGATGCTTGACTCTTCGGTACGTGTATCGTTACAACTACATTACAGCATGCTAAGTTCACTTAAAGGCCTTCTTGCCCTTACTGGACTCAAATTACGTCTCTCCCACAGACTTTCCTGGAGTTCAATGAGGTTGATCGTCTCTGGTGACCAGTGGAACTCTTACTAAAATGTCTTCCCCGCTTTTTGAACGCGAGCTACATCGGTGGGAATACCGGATACCTCGGAAAACAAGGCTCACAGCACCGAGAATCCGGAGTTGCCAAGGCTTCTCCGTGAACTGCGCCAATTTTGCTTGCTTCCCCGGATCTGCTTTTCCTGCATCTACCCCGTGGGGGTGCCAAGAGCTCTGTTAGCCCAGACCCATAAGATGATCTCGATTCCTGCTGTTGATTGTCCTAACTTGCGCCCCCAAGACCAACTCCGTCAATATGACCGATAAGGATACTGCGGTGATGCACCTAGAGGACCTCCCAGGTCATGGAGCCTCTGCCGCCGATTTAGAGTTTCTGTCGAATTTTCCACCCGAGGCAAAGAAGAAGGTTCTGAGAAAGGTAACTGTATTGGTATGACGCACGTGTGTGGAGCTTACTGACAATATCATTATAGGTTGACGTATGGCGTCTATCTCCATTCCTTCGACGAATGAGATGCTGAGTTACAAACCAGATGCGACTCGTTCCAATGTTTGTCCTTTTGTACTTGGTTGCATATATAGACAAAACCAATATCGGTATGTAGCACCCCCAAATTTATGCGTTCTGGTATTAACACTGAACAGGAAATGCCAAAATCGAGGGCTTACTTCCAAGTCTACACATGAGCGGCATACAATACAATATTGCCTTGTCTATCTTTTTCATACCTTATGTTCTAGCTGGTACGAGTCTCCTATGTGCGAACGGCAAACAAACACTAACGTTGCCAAAGAGGTACCAAGCAACGTCATACTTAACCGACTCAAGAGACCGTCACAGTATTTAGGGCTGCTTATATTCTGCTGGGGTGTGATCATGCTTTGCACGGGCTTTGTTCGCAATTTTGCCGGCCTTGTGGTGATTCGTTTCCTTCTGGGTCTTTTCGAGTAAGGTCCTAGGCGCATGGAACACTTTTCGCAGTACTGACAAGTCATACAGGGCTGGATTTCTGCCAGGTGCTGTGCTAATCATATCGAAATGGTATCTTCCAAACGAAACACAGACTCGCATCGCTATTCTCTACACATCTGCTGCTTCTGGTGGAGCCTTTTCCGGTCTCCTGGCATATGCTATCGCCAAAATGGACGGAATAGCAGGCTACGAAGGTTGGCGCTGGGTAGGCCATTTCTTTGGAATCCTTCTGTGATCCCACTTACTGATATCCATACGAGATCTTCATCATCGAGGGTCTTGTGACAGTTTTCATGGCCGTTCTTTGCTACCTGCTCCTTCTGGATTCCCCATCTTTATCCCCCAACTGGCTTTCACAAGACGAGATTCGATACCTCGAGGTACGACAGCTCGTTTCCAATAATCATAGTGGCCACCATGAAGGCTTCAACAAGAAGATAATCTTCAGCGTCCTGACCGATTGGAAAATCTATCTCCTCATACTTGGTAATTGGTCCAATGCCGTCCCCAACTACGCACTCAAATTTAGTATGCCTGAAATCATCAAATCAATGGGGTATAAGTCAGCTACGGCCCAGCTTATGACGATTCCGCCTTACACAGTCGGCGCCATATCAGCTTACGGCTTCTCCGTGTTCGCTGATCGCTTTTCATGGCGAATGCCATTTATCGTGATCCCCCAGTGCTCGCTCATAGCTTCATTTGGCATTCTATTTTCGAAAGCCGCCAGCATCGAGAATAATATAGCACTATGCTATTTTGCGATTTGCCTTGCTTGCTTTGGAATGTATCCCATCCTCCCTGGTGTTAATGCCTGGAATGTGTGCAACATTGTTAATCCGCACAAGCGTGCTGTGGCCATTGGTTATCTTATCTGCGTTGGGAATGCGGGTGGTATCATCGGCAGTTATATTTATAAATCCGATGAAAAACCCCGATACCCTACTGGCTATGGCACCTCTCTAGCATTCGCTGCTGCTGGACTCGTGGCTGCCTTGAGTTTGGAGTTCTGTTTATGGAGCGCTAATAAGGGCAAGGCTCGGTTGGCTCTGTCTGAGATTGAGGAACTGTATACTGAGGAGCAGCTTCGCGATATGGAAGAGAAGAGTCCTCTTTTCAAGTATACTCTGTGAAGTTTATCTGTTATATTTGCATTTATGAATAGAGTTCGGAGAAAGAGACAGTACAATGTCATAACATGGATGCCCTCGTCACAGCTCTGGGATGTGTGTCATCCGAGCCCGAAAGTCCAATCTTGGCCCTTCCTGATCTCTAAGGCTGTCTGCACCTACCGAATAAAATCTCCTGGGGATTTTGACCATGATGAGGTCGCAAAAATGGACCGTATCAGACCCAATTTACGAAGCTTTCTCATCGGGCGTGGGTAATTATTCCTATGATACTCTAGTATAATGTTAATGTTGAAAAGCTCAACAAATTTGACTATTATTGGTGGCTAGGTAAACAGCCAAAGGCAAGTCTACTGGACAGCACAAATTTCATCTAGTATGGCATAAGTCTCGCTTGATGCGCCTTAGATCTATATCGAGGTACCCCATTGAAATAGAATCCTGGAAAGTATATCATGCTGATGCCATAGATTCTTTCATTTTTCTGTTCAACTACTCTGATGTGACGCCCTACTGCTACAGCTCCTGTCGACAGAGGGAGCTAAATGGGTGCACTTTGGGCTTCGTTTCTACCCTAATGAACAAGAAGGCCATCTCAGGCCCATAGACTCTTACCACCAGGGGTAAGATGGGTAATATGTGTCATGTTCAGCAGGCAAGTATATGATATTAACAACGCGACAAATGCTATGACTGCGTGACATGTATCCGAAGATCACTTTTTGATAATGAATGGAATATATGCTCTTTCACTTACGTATCATTGGCAGGGCTACAAAGTTATATACCTCTTCCTGTCTCCGGAAGAAGGGAGTTATTGGCTTTAACTCAACGAAACGACTTTCACCTAAAACTTCGTATCACGTTCGCCAAATAGGCACTATACATGCTTCATCCATAGAGGTATGTCGTCATAATGTGCAAAGAAAGTGTAACTTACAGGACATTGCTCTTAACTTCATGTGCTACATATATTCATATAAGGTTTTTATGAATACGAGTACGACGTGGCGCCCCCGCTGATGCCGTAATGTTGGAAACTCTTCTTATTGGATCATTTGTTCGGGTCAGTGTCCTACAACTATATCTGGAATAATGAACTGGACAAATTCTGGGTCAACAATTTATCTAGAAAATTATGCCCTGCCGTAGCATCCCCCTTTGCACTTATGAACCACGTCTTGTCAGGTTAACATTGAATCGCAACGGTTACAAACGTCTTTTGCGAGCATGGCATGGCCTCGTCCAGGCTCCATAAGTGTTTATTCAGTACTTGGAGTGACGATAGTCGCGTCTGGGATCCTTGCTTACTACGTTAGACGCGCGTTGAAGCGTCATGGACAGTTTCTTCAACGAGGTACAAGAATAATAGTGGATCGCCAGCCTCCCAACCGCAGACTAAAGTATATCTTCCATATGCTCCAATATCTTGGTTCAACACTGACTGTCTTCAGCGTCGTCGCGGTGCATGGGCTAGGCGCACACCCCGAATTTACTTGGACGACGAGAGGCCCAAACCAGTCTCGCGTAAACTGGCTAACGGACTTGTTTCCACGAGACTTCAGCAAAGCACGAGTCATGACATTTGGCCATAACTCTGACTGGTTTGTCCGGGCGAGCAACAACACACCGTTTGAAAATGCCAAAATGCTTTTACAAGCAGTAAACGAAGAAAGGCGTGAACACCACAAGGTCAGCCTTCAGATAATTGAGATAACCATAGGGAACACCTCGAAAAGTAACCCCTTGGCTTATATCGCAGTGTCCCATCATTTTCATCGGCCATAGCTTTGGTGGCATTATTCTCAAAGAGGTAAGAGCACCATGATCAGACTAAAGTGGCCTGACTGATCTGGTTCATTAAGGCAATATGCTTGGCGGAAACAGATAAACAGTATAGGGACATATTGGATGATACAATCGGTATCATCTTTCTTGGAACGCCCCATCAAGGGTCCAATGTTTCGCAGTTTGGAGCCTTCATAGCACGCTTGACATGGGTATTTGGATCAAGCACAATACTACTAAAAGGTCTCTACAGGGATAACCCTCATCTATCCGACTTACAAGAACGATTCATGAGCGTTATTCGGAGAAGAAAAGACATTAAGCTCGTCACGATGTATGAGAAGCACCATACGTACTTTGCTCAACTTATTTATCTAGGCTTTGTAAGTACGATCACTATACGCTATACATACCACGAATACTTACGAAAATGAAAAAGATTGTCGAGAGGAATGCTGCAGTGCTTGATGTGGCCGAAAACATTGCAGTTGAGAAAGATCATATGGGGCTGAACAAATGCGCCTCACCAGATGATCCGGCATATGACGCAATTCGTCAAGGCATCAATAAAATACGGGACCATGCGGAGAGTAGAGGCTGGAAGAAAAAATATTTAAATTGGTCCGAGAGGCCAAGGCTCTAGCTTACAAGTTGTGAGGGACCACAATTGCTGTGGTACTGCTGCAAGAATAGACCTCGGCATGCTCCGACTCAGGTTCCACAGATCGGAACTCACAATTCGAATCCGAGTCAGATCGTGATTCAATCATGTTCGAGTCATGCTTAAACCTGACAGTATCTGGGTTGCGTCATTCTACCGCGATGTTGTGTATTTTGGTGGTACGGCACCCACCTCAATCATTAATATGACGGCTGCGCGAGACAATATCCTCAGACAGGGGCCTCACAGGAAAAGGGCCTGCTTCTGATCCTAAGCTCAATAAACGCCAAACCGGACTTGATATCCTATTTTTGGCAACTTTTTGCCAATTGCGATGTTCTTCTGCCATTATTGTCACCTTGCATCATAGTCATTAGGAGTCGCCCCGGATTTCTAGGCAATGAGAGAACACAATCAAGTTATCAACTGTGCGAGCTTAGTAGCTTGTAGTGCGCGGATCGCTCCCGTTTGAAATGCAATGTCGCCAGTAGATTACTGATGAATTGAATGAACCCAAGAAAACCAACTAGCAGAAGTATAATGAGCGGGCCAATGATTGAAAAGACGGTAAAACCATACGAAGCATTTTGAAATGCAACATTGCCCCCCAGCTTGGTAGCCAGCCCAACCTGCATTGCCGTCAACACTAATGCGACATAAACAGTCGTTGCAGTAAGTGGTGTTAGATAATCGTAGAACAACTCAGTATATGTTTGATATGTGAAGTGATAACCTCGTAGAATACTGCCGTAACGAAACATGTATATTTTGTTGAGTCGCGAAAGCCGAAGTTCGCCGAACAAGTAACGTGCATTGACATTCCCAGGGCTAGTAGCTCCGTTCTCCAAGAGCTCCTTGACCAATTCAACCCACATTTCCCATGTCACATTGTGTGGCATTAGGTGTTGGTCCTGGGCAATAGCAAAATCACTCTCTCGCTCAATTAGAGCAATATATGAGTATAAAAGCCCTAGGCCACATTCGTATAGATGTTTTTTCTGACAAACCCCATCCCCTCTATCTGTCTGACAGTAAATATAGTTGGACATGCAGGGACAGGGCTCTTTGCAGATCAGGTAAGATTTCCAAAATTGATGGCTTAGGAGGTATCGCGGGAGCGGCTTCAGGTGGATACGCCGTGAAGGCTCCCAGACCATGTGCATGTCAATCCTCTCATCTAGCAAAATTTGCCGAGAAGTTGCGGTTTGATAGTTTAGGGGTCTGGGTGGCATGGGTCGGCCAGCCAACCACAGATATTTGTGAATACGGTTAAGACATTCGACGGAGAGATCGTTCTGTAAAAAGCGGGAAATATCCGTAGTAGGACTGTAGGGGGTATAATACTCGTCGCGAATGGCAGCAGGAGTGTAGAAAGTACTTGAAATGGAAACGTCAACACTAAATGGTGGCTTTGTAGGCATGCTTATACAAGAGACGGTAGTGAACCGAGTTGATGTTAGGTCTTAAGTCGATAGGTTAGAGAGTGACAGAACCACAGCTAGGGGACAAGCCTAGGTACATATGTTGCTTAGCTACCTTGAAAAGCCAAGATTGGAGGCTTGATCTGTTTCTCATTTGAACAGAGCCACTCCGAGGAGCGCCATCATCCGGGGTTGGCTGGGATCTTCGAGACCGGCCGAGAGTCTGGCGTTGGCAGGGTTAATGCACTAATACTAAGGTTTCGAGTGGACCAAGGGAATGATCGGCGACCCAAGGTTTACGTTGGTCATCTGCTCTTACCATGTATATCTTTCTGTATCCATTATCGATTAGTCTATAATTACCACTCTGTTAATTCTTCAAATAATCTAATCCTCTTGATATATAATTAGTCCAAAAGGGTTATATTAACTGTTCAATTTGACTAAACGGAGTATTATATACTACGGTATTGGAAGGGTCTCCATTACAGCTAGATATGATTATACAATATATTATGTGGGAATATGAATGTTTAAGCTCCATCCAAGAATATAAGCCAGCTCTACACTGTAACTGACACATACGACCATAGGGTGTGGAAAATAGGGCTTCCCGTCCGCTCAGCCGTACTCAAGCCACACGCCGGGAGGTTAGTAGTTGGGTGGGTGACCACCAGCGAATCCCTTCTGTTGTATGTTTTTGTCATTTTTAGTTCATTAGCATTTGTCATTTATATATATATTACTTTCCCTACCATACCGCATGATGGGCGCGTGCGGAAGAGGACTTGGGTCGAACGTGAGTTTCAAATGGCTGATGCTCTAACGAACCCTGAATTGAGCCGGTACTTCAATAACTTAAGTAAAGTCTAGACCAGAATGAAGGTAAGAACATCAGGTTTTATATTAGCACCACGCATATCGCAGTACCGAACGAGAAAAAGGTCATAGGGACGCTCCTCTACGTCGTCACTGGTTGGTCTTCAAGCATCGTTGGATAGTTAATCACCACCTACTCGCAATTACTCGCAGTAACGTTCTCATTTAGCTGCCTATAGCCCTGCGTCCTGCATGGGTCTGCTCTCAACTACTACAATTATCTATATTTTGCTTAATTTGATGGCCAGTGGGATCAATACTAAGTAAGTGCATCATCTGTTATGGTTGCACAAATTCATACAAGTTCATCATATTTCTAAAAGTCAGCACAGACAACCCAGAGGATATCAGTTATTCTCATCTCCCACAAGCCATTTCCTCAATTGTACGGTCAATACTGGGACACGGTTGTCTCAAAGTCTTCCGGCTCGCGACCCAGGAGCTCTCCTAGCAATGGGGACACAAAAGCGCCTTCTCCTCGGCGAAAGGCCTCAAAGGTGGTGGTCCACAACGCGGAATGATCAACGCCATGGTAGGTAAAGTTAGAAGAAACTTGAGGTTGACTGGCGAATTCCTCCACGGAGACCTGGCAGATGCGCACAATATGTTTGGCAAGCTTGGCCAGAATGGACACCGTTTCCCCGAGGGTCAGGGCTCGCGGGCCAGACAAGAGCACTTTGCGATTGCGATAGGGAAACCCGTCCGGGTCCTGCACGAATCTCTTAATGAGCTCTGCGGTACCTTCTCCGAGCTCCTCACGCTTCACCCACGCGATCCCCGGGCCCGCACCATCGTGGGTTATCTTAATCTCGTCGACAGGCTGCTTCGGATCAAAGAAAGCGGTATAGAGTGGGTACGACTCGGAGTAGAGACCTTCGCGAATGACCGTGTAGGAGAATCCCACATGTTGCCGCGTGCATTCTTGGAGGTATCTCTCGGTGTCCAAGTGTGCCTGCATGACGTGTGCCACCGACTTATCGCCTTCTGGGTTCCCGCCATAGCCTAGTGACCCGTAGAAGATATGTGTCACACCGCTGCGAATCGCATGGTCGATGGCAGTGCGGTGTCTCTATCCAAAACATATCTCGGTCAGCATGTTCTCAGACTGGGTGTGTCTACCTAGGGGGTGATCCTCGGAGTAATTCGTACCTCAGTGCGATACTCATGTTCCACGGACGCGTAGGAAATTAGGAAGAGCACATTCAGCCCCTCGAAGGCAACCTTCAAGCTCTCGTTGTCGTCGTAGTCAGCTCGCCGTAGAACGGCTTGGTCTACAGGTAAGTTCCTGAGTTTCTCGGGACTCCGAGCGATAAACACAAGCTTCTTGGATGGAAACCGTGGCAAGAGATGCTTGACGGTGCCTCCGCCAATACCTCCTGCAGCCGGGAAGACTCCGATGGTAGGGCTATCCATTTGGATTTGAGAGATATGCACAAAGTATGACTGCTGTCATTGAAGATTTCTTTGTCACATCTCTAAGCTTTTATAGCATTCTTCGAACTAATTTTGGCCTACCAGGAATTCCTGGTGAATTTGTCAGATTGTAGGGCATTTGTCATCATGATGTGGTCGGAGCGCTTGAGAAAGTTGTAGAAAAGAGTTTTGTCATTGCCCGATGGGTGAGGGATTTAAACTATCGACAGTACGTTTCTTCTTTCATATGCCAACTTCCCTAAAAAGTTTCAGTCCGGTGGACAGTTTGTTGAAGGCCAAATCCGAGTCCACCGGAGTCGGAGCGTTCCCGGCTGCGCGTCATACGCCAATGGCGGATGTGCAGGTGGGAACGCCCAGAGACAAGCTCATACAACAGCGTCATTAGTAAGAAGATCACTTGCATCTAATTGACCCTGACATCACTACCCATACTTGGGTTTTTTTTTCATGAATTTAGTTACTTTCTTCGGCCAGGTTGCGCTTATAAATACACACGCTCTTTTGCCTTTCTATACAAGTAGAACGACTCAATCCCATAGATTGATATAAAGTCATAAAGGCCTGGCAGAACGAGATTCGAGAACATCGATTCGATTTTACGAAAGTTAAAAAAGATGCCTTCCCGTTACCTTAACGCTGATGAAAGTGAGATTGTGGAGATTGCCAACGAACCGGCCAGCGGTGTAAATTGTAATTTCCAGTGCATCAGACGCCTCATCGCTGACGATCCCCTGCAGATTCCCTACTTCACCCCCAAGCAGACTCCGACGGCGGGCACCGCTCTCGTGCCCGCGCCTCAAGACCCTACTACACCCAAGCTGTTTACGCCGTTGTCTATCCGAGGAATTGTACTCCAGAACCGAATTCTGGTGAGTTGCTTCGTGTCACTTGTTTTCTTTCTTGTCCAAATCCCGGGCATTCTGGACTAACTCAAGTGGCTCAAGCTCTCCCCTCTCTGCCAATATTCGGCCGAAGATGGGCATCACACCGACTGGCACTTTGCCCACCTGGGTGGTATCATCTCGCGTGGACCCGGCCTCTGCTTTGTGGAAGCCACTGCGGTCACAGCCAACGGCCGGATAACCCCGGAGGATTCAGGCCTCTGGAAAGACTCGCAGATCGGTCCGTTGAAGCGAATCGTAGACTTTGCGCATAGCCAGGGCCAGTTGATTGGAATCCAACTCTCCCATGCGGGCCGGAAAGCGAGCACGGTTGCCCCGTGGTTGAGCATGAACCGAGGCCCGGGAGCTCCTATTAAATCTGTCAATGGCATTGACCACGATGGCTTTGCACCGGTAAGAATCCTGTTCACTCTTCCATCCATCCAAGCTCCTGGACTAACATCTGCCTTGCTTGTTGAACAGCGTCACGGCTGGCCAGACAATGTGGTTGCCCCGAGTGCGATCGCCTTCAAAGACAAGAACATCATTCCTCGGGAGTTGTCTTACGATGAGATACAATCTTTGGTAGTGGCTTGGGGTGAAGCCGTGAAGAGAGCGGTCCGTGCCGGGTTTGATGTATGTCTGCATCCGCTTCCCTTAAAGAATTTTCCGTCATCTGACCCCGCTTGATTTCCGTTGCAAGGCAATTGAGATCCACGGTGCGCATGGATATCTTATTCACGAATTCCTCTCCCCTGTCTCCAACAAGCGGACGGACGAATACGGGGGAAGCTTCGAAAACCGAATTCGCTTGGCCCTCGAGCTAGTTGACATCTCTCGGCAGCATATGACTCCGAGCATGCCTCTCTTCTTCCGCGTGAGTGGCACCGAGTGGCTGGAGCACCTGGAAAATGAGCCCAGTTGGGATGCGAGCCAGACGGTCCGGTTGGCGGAGGCTCTGGTAGAGCACGGGGTGGATGTTCTCGATGTATCTAGCGGAGGGAATGATCCCAGGCAGCAAATCAAGGGGGGACCGGCCTACCAGTCCCCCTACGCATTTCAGGTGAAAGAAGCTCTGGGTGACCCTCTTCTGGTGGCATCCGTTGGTGCCACCACATCCGGTCCGCAGGCTAATGACCTCTTGAACGCGGGTCTCGATATGGTCATCATCGGGCGCATGTTTCAGAAAAATCCAGGTCTGGTGTGGACGTTCGCTGAAGAGCTCGATGTTGATGTCAAGGCAGCCCATCAGATTCACTGGGGGTTTGCTGGAAAGCGCCGTCGCCAATGATTACTGCTGGCGTAGGGTTGAAGGAATTACCAATCGCAACGGCTGAGTCTGGTTTTATGGTGATCAATGGGATCATGGATGCGCGCGTTGGCGGCTCACAGAACATGGACTTCCAAATGTCAACCAATAACAATTAAGTCGTAGATGAACCGGCATCAATCTGCCGCTGTACAGACATTGAAGGGATTTAAACGGCTCCCTGAATCAGTGATGTCGTATATATAACGCAGTCCTACAGGAACAAGTATACCGTTCTTTTTTCGTCAGTTCAACAACACATATGAACATTTCACGCACGTGAGACATGTACGAGACTGGAAAAGTCACAGAAAGACAAGGGCACATAGCTACCCACCAGATCTCAGATTTCGAATCATTTTATCTCACTACCATACCAGTTCCATTTGCGATTTTCTATTTCCTCTTCGTTCAGCCCTAATACAAGATATTCAATGTGATGCCCGAGTCTGCATACTACGTATAACGAGAAATTGACCCACTCGCTCCACCCAGGGTCTTTGCATTAAGTCCGATGGCTGTGGTCCACATCGGGTCCGCTGAATTACCATTTCAGACCAAAACGCGAGATTTTAACTTTCTTTAGGTGGATCCAGTCCCCCTGTGATTGGTAATAGAGAGACCATCCATTATCTTTCAGGAGAGCAAACAAAAGCAGAAGCATGAATCTGCCTAGTGAACCGACTAGTCATTGTGAAATCCTCAAGACGTGTAGCAACATAACCCATCTGTTGGTCAGTTTCCTATTTCTTCATTATACTTCGATGCTTCAAGGAGTTTGCTAACCCTATCTCAACCATGATCAGATGTCCTATATGCCAGGAACACGTTCTTCTATCCAAAATTAACGAGCATCTCGATTCTAGCTGTCAAAGATTTATCGCAAACACCCACCTACAAAATACGACATCGTCTTCTCTTATCGACAATGGCAGCAACTCACAAGAAAGAACGAAACAACTTCAACTGAAAGACGGCTACGGTTCAACGGAATCTTTTGCTGCTGGTACCGGGGGATTGAAAAGAGCAGTCCCTCAACCACAGTCTACTATCGCACGAAAGAAGCCATACATAGAATCAGCAACGGAGCGACTACGTCTTCAAACTGCACCTTTAGCCGAGCAAGTCCGACCACGATGCTTCGACGACATTGTCGGTCAAGATTCTCTGATCGGCCCAAATGGTACACTTAGTCGATTGATTGAACAAGATAAGCTCCCGAATATGATATTATGGGGCCCTCCAGGAAGCGGTAAAACTACAATTGCCAGGATCATCGGGCGTATGATGAGGAGAAAGGTTACGAAATCAGTAGCTTGACTACAACGACAACAGAGTACAAAGACATCGTCACGAAGGCCACACAGGATGTGCGCAAGGGCCAAAAACCATCCATCGTGTTTTGTGATGAGATACATCGACTCACACGGCCACAACAAGATATATTTCTCGATGCCGTTCAAAGGAATAAAATTTCTCTTATCGGCGCGACCACCGAGAACCCATCATTGAACATTCACCATACCCTTGTCTACAAATGTAAAGTCTTCAGTGTCACGAAGCCAACTACCAATGACTTGGTCACTATCCTTCGTCGTTCAGTGGAATCACAGACTCACATGAAGTCATCACCACTTCTGGACGATGAATTCCTTCAATACATAGCCGGCTTTGCCGATGGCGACAGTAGAATCGCACTGAATGTCCTGGAGATAGCTACGGATCTATGCACATGCCCAGGCATGACCAAGGAGAAGTTGAAGCAATCATTGACTAAGAGCTTACTCTACGACCGATCGGGCGACCAGCACTATGACACTATTTCGGCACTCCACAAGTCAATCCGAGGCAGTGATCCTGATGCTGCGCTATATTACCTCGCGCGAATGCTCCAGTCAGGCGAGAACCCTTTATTCATCGCTCGTCGGCTTGTTGTGGCGACGTCGGAGGACATTGGACTGGCGAATAATGTCTTGCAAACATATGCAACCTCGGTCTACCTGATGATTGAGAAGCTAGGGATCAAGGACGCACAGTCTGCGCTGGCTCAACTCGTGATCACGATGTGTTTATCAAAGAAGAGCACTCGATCTTATCGTGGTATGAATAATGCTTTTGCTGCAGTGAAGGAGCCCGGGATGGGTGATCTTCCAGTGCCTTTCCACGCCTTGGATCGCAGGCCTGAGCTTTTGAATGAGGCTGCTCGGCTCATGTCCACTCACTCTAAACAAACCCAGGAAGGGCCTGAATCCACTCAGAGGTTTCTTCCACGTGCTCTCGAAGGACGGAAGTTCTTGGAAGATACTGATTTTTTGTTCAAACGAGATCCTGACTTGAGTTATGGGTGACCGCCAAATGTCGCCACGGCTTGAATATCGCCGTAGCAAGATCCAAGTTGTCGGTATTCGAACTGGAACTTTCATACTATTATATTTTTTGATATGATGTATTCATGCCACGTTGTTTTTGAATACTGTTCTTGCCTCTAGTTTAGTGACAATCAAAAAGTAGTGGACTGTTTTCCTTTTCATAAGTCATGCATATATATTTCCTCTGAAAAGGGTACGGAATACATAAGTGATGCTGATCTCACACCTAGCGTACATACATGACTAGTACGGCAGACTACAGTTCCATAATCAGGCATGTGATTCCGATACAAGCCAACTTGGATTTTGCGGCCATCTTCTTATGACTAACGTACAAATCTGTCGTACTGGGTACCGTAATAAGGTCCACAGAGTCCTTTGTCCTTGCCACGGCAGCCGATAATCCACCATACAAACTGTTGACTGCAGCGCTGAATCTGATTCATGACTCCGAGATTAAGATGCCGCAATTTCTCACAGAAAATGGGGACTTGCCAGCATGGCTTACCCTGCTAGAGGCCTCAGCCACGCTGTGTTGCTATGTGCCATTTTTGCCGACCGAGTGTGTCTGAGCCGGATGAGTCTCTTTTGCTTGTGCTGACGCCTTATGCACGACGGGTTTGGTAGTGTCTGCACTATACAGTGCTAATAAAGCCTTGCCCTTGACAAGGTCTGTGGGGTATTATGTTCGAAAGCCGCTGCTCCGTATCTGGTTAAAATCAAGTGCTGATCGACGCGGTAGTTGACTGGCTGCTGCTGTCATCCTTCAATCATGATTATTTAGAAGGTCTCGGGATTTCGAACAGCATCAAATGTTTTCGCGAAGCATTTAACCATTCTTGTAGTTCAATGTTTGGGGTTTGAGTAAATCAAACCCTATCCTAGAAGCAACAACCAGTCTTTCTGGAGCATGCGCGATAGCCAGAAGGAATGGTTACCATTATCTCGGTCATTCCAAAGTTCTTCAACGAGCTGAAGAGCCATAAGATTTGTGGGAAGACGATTCAATGAATAGATGGCTCGCAGTCTTTCACGCACTTTATCGCGCAGGGAGTTATTTGACTCGGTCAATTCGGACCCGGCTGATAGGAGAGCGAGAGATTGGAAGTTCAGATAGTATGACGATGAAGGAATCAGTATCAAATGGCGCACTGTCTCTTCGGCGTACTTTAGTATCGACAGCTCTTGCGCTTGAGTTATATCCCGATCCGTGGAACAACTCCTCTGTGCATGAACTCGAGATTGATAAAGTAGAACGAGACCTTGATAGCGGAACGCTTCGTATAAGTGGACGAGGTCGGGATTTTGGGCGCTCGTCGTCCATTCAATAAGCTGGGCCTCCAGTATGGCTTCTTGAGTGAAGTTCCGATTCTGCGGCATATCATGTACCTTTCGGCAATACCGTCCGACATTGGCTATTGTAAGGAGTAGGCTGCTACATGTTCCGTACATCGGATGGTGCCAGTCACCCATCCTATGCACCGCGAGAGATATTATGAATGAGTTGATACTCTGTGGTTCACCGGGTTCTACTAAGAACGAACTGCACATGTCCCAATAAAGATACACACCCAGGCAGAGTCGAACCACAGGGTCATTAGTCGTCGACACAGATGTGTCTTGGAGCATACTGTTGATCAAGGCACGGGCACCAAATAAGTGCTGTTTGCCATAGTCCTTCGGATCAGGATCAACAACTTGCATAAAAGACAATAGCATTATGGTCAAGAAGTGCGTGTAGTGAGCACGTTGGACTTGATCTATCTCTCTTCGAAGGCAAGCTATGGCTTTGCCATGTTCCTCAAGGGCCAGAATAGGGGCCTCTGCCGGGAAGTACTGTTCATGGTTGGCACTGACTGAGTGGATGGCATGGAGTAGTGCTGGGGATTGGGCTAGGTCTTTCAAGATAGGGAAAGAGAACGGATTGTTCTCTGGATCTATGACGAACGCTTGGCTGACTTTCTCCAGGTAATACTGTAGTAACCGTCGATTGACATGCGTTTTAGGCTGAAGTGAGAGCCACGGTGCCTCAACTTGCCATTGTGTTAGCCGCGGAACCGACGTACAGACCAGACCTCGACGCTGGCACCGCTTGCACGTCGGGTAGCCTTCATCGCATTTGACCCGCTTCGCCTTGCATTCTCGACAGCCGAATTTGCTTTTGTTTCGCGCTCGAACCGGTAAACCCTTGTACTCTCGATGCGTAGTTGTATTTGCAGACTCGCTGACTATCACTTGTTTGAAACGTAATCCGCGGGCCTCCATATCTGGTTGGATAGACTGCTGCATTGAAGACGAGGATTCGGGTAGGATCTGAAGAGTCGCCACGAGGGTTGCCGTGTCACCAGTAGATTACTAATATCATCCGCGACACCAAACCTGTTTCAGCTTACGGTACCATATCCGATCGTCCTGAATTCTTGTTTGTATCAACGACGCGGCTGCGATCATTCTGCCCCGGCGTTGACTGTGTCCATGTCGCGCGCATGTCGTTGAGAAAGCCCGAAAGTCCTCGTGTGCAGAGCGGCCAAAGGAGCCATGATCACCTGAAGCAGCAGCACACAGAATCTTACTTCAGGTGCAAAATTGACCAGGTGTGAGGCGTCTTCTTCTTCTGTCTGCCACCGGGCGCAGACCAATGGTTCATTTTCAGCGCGGTTATATAGTTCGAAAGAGTCTTGCTAGTGCCAGTCTCCAGTGTATAATGAGAGGTGCGGTATGATATGCCGCAAGCAGTCTTCGCCAGACCACCCACCATTTATCATAGAGGGGCTTTCGATTTTGATGGGCAGGGGCGAATGACTGGTTTGGCAATCTGTTTGAAAATTAGATGGTAAACCAATTATCACGGCGTTATTTCGCCATTTGGCCATGCAGCATTGGTATTGGCTCGGAATATATCATGGCATGTGTTCATGTTAACATACATTCGGGTCATCAGTGGCTGTGTCCATGGAAACTGTGAGACCTCCCCACTATAACCTTTTCCTTTTCTGGACAGATCCCGAGGATTATCCCAATCATTCGGGGCCTAAAGTGCTACGAAACCTAGTAGTAAAAACCGTGGACAGGAACTGAGTGGCACATGGCTAACTCTATTCTGTGAGGGTCTCCATATTCCACAATAATTGATATCTCCGGGGCATTCGACAATGTCTCACACGCACGGTTAATCCACAACCTCTATAAACACAGGATGCTGAATAACCTGGTCAGATAAATCTAATTCTTCCTGGAAGATTATTACACTATTCTAGAGCTGTTTAAATACTATCAGCTGCAGGCTAAGATTAATATAGATATCTCTTAAGAATTTCTACTCTTCCTGATCCTGTATCTCTTTTATAATATAAATATAGTAGACAGCTTACCAAGTAATATTAGATATATTAATAATATGATTATGGTTGTGACCAGGCTGGATAAAAAATTAAATTATTAATATCTAATACTGTAATATAGTGAAATCTGTGAAGTATAGTCAGTCATATATATATTAGTTTTTGCTCCTGAAAAATTTATTTTTATATACTTCTAGCTACTTTCTTAAGATATCCAGACATATTCTGTCTCAGTAGATATAATAAATCTAGATTTTAATTTAAAAAATAATTATATTATTATATTAAGCTGATTAGTATATCTGCTCAAGATTATTCTAGATTAATACTTACAGTTTAATAAATATATAATAATAATTAATAAGAAATATTTTAAAGATATTTAAGTCCTGAGCTTAGTAAAAGAGTTTAAATAAAGTTTTTTATTAATTAAAAAGAAAATTCTGTATAAGAATTTTATTATCTTATAGACTCTGTATATATTCCTGATCTGATATATATTTTAAATTTATAAATAAAGATTTTATTATAACTAATAAATTTAAATATTTACAGTTATTTAATAAAAAATAGAATATAGTATTACAGAAAAATTTAAAGCAGTTACTGGGAATATATTTAATATTAAATTATATATAATATTAATAAAGTAATGCCTCCGTGAGACCCAGCTTAAAATAATTATTTAAATTATATTATTAAATATATATACAGGCATTATTAAGAAAAAAATTTATAATAATAAAATTTTATTACAGACCCCCTTGGAACAGGCAGAAAAAAAATTATTTTTATAAAAAAAGATTAATATCCAGAAAATTAAGTTAAGATTATTTTATATAATCTTACTATAATAAGCCTCTCTTTATATATTAATTAAAAATATGAAGAAGCAGGCCCTAATCAATTATATAATTATAAAAACTATATATAATAATATCCCGAAGCTATATACAAATAGATTTAATTATTATAAGAAAATCAAGACCACTGCTGTCTTCTTAAATATAATTAATAAATATATCTAAGTATAGACTGGAAAAGTACTGTTTTCTATATTAAACTAGTTAAAATTATTTTAATCTTATAAATAATACAAGAGATTTTTTTTCTCTGGAAGATAATTAAAATATATATAAATAATTAAAATATATTTTAATATTTTCTTAATCCCAGAATATAATCTATATAATTTTTTATCTGATATATTATTAATTTTATCAAGAAACAGTATAGATAAAAATAGAGTATCAGCTTTTACTAAATTCCTACTTATATAAAGATCTCTGGTAATAAATTTATAGATAAAATAATTAAATATATTATCAGATAACTTTTAAATAATATAATTAACAGTTCCAAGGCCCTGCAGATACTGGATTATTATATCTCATAATTATCTATTAATATCTAGATTAAAATATTAATAAAAAAATAATAATACTAATACTAGTAGTATATAAATTATAATAAAACTCTCTGGTAATATATTCCAGAGATTAGTATAAAACTAATATAATTTTATAAAAATCTAATTTTAATTTAGTAGAGTGCTCTCTTCCAGGCCCGGATAAAAAAAATTAATCTAAATATATTTTTATATATAATTCAGAAGATTAATTCTGTTTAGTATAAGTA